ACTTTGTTTTCTTTTTGGCCCGTTTAAGTTTCTTCTCCATCTTCTTACTGATCTCGTCCTCATTCAGAACACAGAAGACCTCCAGCTGGGAGTCCGCGCCCTGCGTGTATACACCTCCATCATCAGTCACCATGGCACACTGACACCTCCATCATCAGTCATCATGGCACACCGACCCCTCCATCATCAGTCACCATGGCACACTGACACCTCCATCATCAGTCATCATGGCACACCGACCCCTCCATCATCAGTCACCATGGCACACTGACACCTCCATCATCAGTCATCATGGCACACCGACCCCTCCATCATCAGTCACCATGGCACACTGACACCTCCATCATCAGTCATCATGGCACACCGACCCCTCCATCATCAGTCACCATGGCACACTGACACCTCCATCATCAGTCATCATGGCACACCGACCCCTCCATCATCAGTCACCATGGCACACTGACACCTCCATCATCAGTCATCATGGCACACCGACCCCTCCATCATCAGTCACCATGGCACACTGACACCTCCATCATCAGTCATCATGGCACACCGACCCCTCCATCATCAGTCACCATGGCACACTGACACCTCCATCATCAGTCATCATGGCACACCGACCCCTCCATCATCAGTCACCATGGCACACTGACACCTCCATCATCAGTCATCATGGCACACCGACCCCTCCATCATCAGTCACCATGGCACACTGACACCTCCATCATCAGTCATCATGGCACACCGACCCCTCCATCATCAGTCACCATGGCACACTGACACCTCCATCATCAGTCATCATGGCACACCGACCCCTCCATCATCAGTCACCATGGCACACTGACACCTCCATCATCAGTCATCATGGCACACCGACCCCTCCATCATCAGTCACCATGGCACACTGACACCTCCATCATCAGTCATCATGGCACACCGACCCCTCCATCATCAGTCACCATGGCACACTGACACCTCCATCATCAGTCATCATGGCACACCGACCCCTCCATCATCAGTCACCATGGCACACTGACACCTCCATCATCAGTCATCATGGCACACCGACCCCTCCATCATCAGTCACCATGGCACACTGACACCTCCATCATCAGTCATCATGGCACACCGACCCCTCCATCATCAGTCACCATGGCACACTGACACCTCCATCATCAGTCATCATGGCACACCGACCCCTCCATCATCAGTCACCATGGCACACTGACACCTCCATCATCAGTCATCATGGCACACCGACCCCTCCATCATCAGTCACCATGGCACACTGACACCTCCATCATCAGTCATCATGGCACACCGACCCCTCCATCATCAGTCACCATGGCACACTGACACCTCCATCATCAGTCATCATGGCACACCGACCCCTCCATCATCAGTCACCATGGCACACTGACACCTCCATCATCAGTCATCATGGCACACCGACCCCTCCATCATCAGTCACCATGGCACACTGACACCTCCATCATCAGTCATCATGGCACACCGACCCCTCCATCATCAGTCACCATGGCACACTGACACCTCCATCATCAGTCATCATGGCACACCGACCCCTCCACCAGCAGTCATCATGGCACACTGACACCTCCATCACCATGGCACACTGACACCTCCATCACTCACATGACAAGCCAGGAAGCGTCTGGTGCGGTCGGCCCCCAGAGACACCACGCGGTCCCTTCCTTCCCTCATGATGGATCCGTATCGCCGGCAGGTCAGGATCCGCTGAAAATACAATGACATCCATATAATTCTGTCCTGCAGATGACAATCTCCCGGGCCCCGGGCCCTAACCTCACCTCCTCGGTCGTCACCTCCTCCTCCTCCGTCGCTTCCTCTTCATCATCTTCCGTCTCCAGAGAAGGAACTTTAGATTTCTTCATTCGAGGTTCCTCAGAGTCTTCGCGCTGTGCGGACACAATGGAGGAAACATTGAGCATGGCAGGAGGCGGAGCAGACTGGAAAGGGTCTGCGGATAGATGGGAAGCCAGCTGCAGTGCATTATGGGATGTGGGGGGCGTGGCCAAACTCCAATATAGGAAAATCTGCACACTGCGTGCACACCGCGCCCAACGATTATGTATGTCACAGAGGAGTTCAAAACCACCAACTGGACACGTGGGGCTCCCTAAAAAAGCACAAAGAAATGTCCGCTCGCTGTGCATTGGGCTTCCACGTCACGGCCCCCAGATTCTCCCAAGAGTGCTGAATGACATGCAGACAGATATGCCTCCGGGGCAGGGCGCCTTCGGGGCAGGGGCCAAGGGCAGGGCGCCTTCGGGGCAGGGGCCAAGGACAGGCCGCCTTCGGGGCAGGGGCCAAGGACAGGCCGCCTTCGGGGCAGGGGCCAAGGACAGGCCGCCTTCGGGGCAGGGGCCAAGGACAGGCCGCCTTCGGGGCAGGGGCCAAGGACAGGCCGCCTTCGGGGCAGGGGCCAAGGACAGGCCGCCTTCGGGGCAGGGGCCAAGGACAGGCCGCCTTCGGGGCAGGGGCCAAGGACAGGCCGCCTTCGGGGCAGGGGCCAAGGACAGGCCGCCTTCGGGGCAGGGGCCAAGGACAGGCCGCCTTCGGGGCAGGGGCCAAGGACAGGCCGCCTTCGGGGCAGGGGCCAAGGACAGGCCGCCTTCGGGGCAGGGGCCAAGGACAGGCCGCCTTCGGGGCAGGGGCCAAGGACAGGCCGCCTTCGGGGCAGGGGCCAAGGACAGGCCGCCTTCGGGGCAGGGGCCAAGGACAGGCCGCCTTCGGGGCAGGGGCCAAGGACAGGCCGCCTTCGGGGCAGGGGCCAAGGACAGGCCGCCTTCGGGGCAGGGGCCAAGGACAGGCCGCCTTCGGGGCAGGGGCCAAGGACAGGCCGCCTTCGGGGCAGGGGCCAAGGACAGGCCGCCTAGGGAAGTGACAGGGAAATCTCCCCACGAGAGAACTAGTCATTAATAAAACACCAGTGCAGGATCTAACCACGGGAGCCGACGCTCTGAACCCTTCCGCCTACCTCTGTGCGATGGCCCACCATGGTCTGGAAGCAGTGCTGTGTGTCCAGGTCCCACCATTTCACCAGCGTGTCTTTACCGCTACAAAGAAATTCATCATTAAAAATCACATTTATTTCCCAATCCTCAAACCCTACATGTGAACGGCGATCACGTCCTCTCTACGCGGCCGGACTCGCCATCGCCGTCACTA